CCGGATCCACTTCAATTGTAAATGTTGCTGTATTTTTAAATTGTTGCATTGTCTTGTACTGTCTTATTTATCCCCTCTCCCTGTTTTATTGTAAGCCGCCCGGAGTCCTTCGGGAGTGGGCGGCATACAAAACCAATAAAACTCTAAACTCTTCCTCTCTCCCATACCACTGCAACATGGAAAGAAATGTCAAACAGCTTCCACATCTCCAAAAATAATGGTGTGTGTGTGTGGAGGGGAGAGATTCTGGGTTATCTGTGCAGCTAAAATGGAAATGGCTTAGTATACATCAGAGTCTAAAACACTATACAGGATGTGGATAATGTAAAAAGGCTTGACTGTCAAACAGAACAGTCCATTTTTAGAAATTATTTTTTATCCTGAGGACTAACTATAATGAAAGCATTCTCCCTTCTCAGACTCCTGAAGGTTTTACAACCAGAATCATATATTGATTGCTAAAAACTATGCATCCTAATAGCAACAGAAACAAACAAACAAAAATACTTCTAGGACACACAATAGTTTAACTGCAAAGTAGGCAAGTGAAGAGGCAAATGCTATAAGAAAACTCTATGCAAAAATATAGCTTTCCCTGAACAGATAACAGGAATTACTGGAAGCAATAGAAACACATAATCCATGAGATATGAATGGGAAACAAGAGGTAATATACTGATCGAACTTCCTAAAAGTAGTATAAGTATTTTGTAAGACTACAGAGCTATGTTTTTATATCAACTGGGTGACACAAGTCACAAAATTCCCACGGTAAGAAACTGAATGTAGTGACTTTTAAAATTTTTACTAAGAAATTGCTGCCAATTAAAGGGAATTGCATTAGTAGTTTTATAAAACACTTAAATTGCAGTATTTTGTAAAACATGTAATGTCAGTGAAAATGTAAGAAATCAAATACTTTGCTCCTGAACCAGAAATGTCAATGAAGGAGACAAAGCAAAAAAATAATTAAGGCCACTAAAATAGGTTTTAAATGCTAACAAAATACTTGCCATAGGGTGCTCCTTCTTTGTTATTGTCCTTAGAACGACACCAAGTATGAACATCAGGTGAGGGAGTCAACTCCTCAACCTAAAATTAAATAATTATTAAAACTACTTAATATAGGTAGTTCTCTTTTAATGATCATATTTGGATCCGGTAATTGCACCAATAAGCAAAGCTGTCACTAAGTGTCAGGAAGGGAGGGTATGTTAACAGCCGAGTCAGTTAAAGAATTTCTATTGGCATGGACTAGGAGGAGACTCTTCTCTGCTATTGTCTCCGCCCTATGGAACATCTTGCCCTCAGAGTGAATGCTCTTCTGGCCTTCCAGAAAAGCATCAAGACCTGGATGTGCCAACTGATAAAGGGAACCAAGAGTGGTATGGAATCTTGGGGTAGTTGGTAGCTTGAAGGCACTCACTCGGCCTTATTAACTTTGGTTTTTAACTGTCTTTTTATATAGTTTTATGGATTTTATCTGTAGGCTGCCCAGTCATTTAGATAGTGACATAGGCAGCATATAAATTTGATAAATAGATGTGAAAATCACATGACTGCAATGGTGCTTTCCAGCTGGAAAGAGACAAGGCTATCAGTTTTATATCTTTATGAAACCACACATTTGCCCATACTCTGTAATGCTCAAGAGTCTGCTTACTGTCTTATACACATCAAAACCAATGCAATCATGCTGCAACCTAAGGCTGGGAGCCATGAGTGCATTATGGCACTTATTTACAGTACTCTGTAAATATGGTGGTGGGGTATATCAAACAAAAGAGAGACTGCCTACAGAAATTGCTTGCTTCCCCCATCCCCCTTGTACTCACGATTGTGTCACATTGCAGCTAAACTATTACAATTTGTTCTACATGTGACTGCTCTTGAAAGCCACTGGAAAGCTTCAAGTATTGCAGGATACAATAGTCAGAGTAGTGGACTCATTTATTGGAACTTATATGCTATTCCAATCCAGAAAAACCTTGACTGGCAAATATTTCTTACTTTCAATAAAAACATTAAAATAAAATCGTTAGACAAAAAGTTGTCTAACACCATCAAAGAAAATTACTAAGAAAATTATGGCCACAAAAGGAGAATAAACATTCAGGCATGACCAAAAGTGGTGTTCCTAATTTATATGAGTTCCTCTTCCAGGCTCTCTTAAAAAGCCATGTTTTTAGTTTTCCCTAAACTCAGGCTGTGACCAGTCTAATCTTCAGAAGTAAGCTATTCTTTAGAAAAAAGACTGTAAGTGAGGAGGTTTGACTCCTCAGACAGTACCAAACAAAATAACTTTGGGTCTCAACTTCTACCTCCCCATTGCCACAAAAGAAACCACTGCAACATAGTGCCCCACTCCCATCTACTATAACCTATGCATAAGGATACCATGGACAATGTTACTGAAAGTTGCTGAAAGGTTTAGTAGGATATGTACCTTCCCACTTCTGACAAAGATCACCTAATATGGTGGCTGATGCAATTTTTTTTCCATATTTAATCCAGAATCCTAATGAATAAGGTTCCAAGTAATTTATTTAATTCAAGATTTTCTGAAGTTATATCTCAATCCCTACTCAACAACCTTCCCTAAAAAAGAAAGATTGGAAACAGAATAGCTAGGTTGAGCAATAAATTCTTGGGGAGGGGCACCATTCTACATTTTTCAAGATGTTTTTAACATGCTAGATGCTACAATGATCCAGCAGCCAATTCTTCAGCCTATATTTCCAACAGAGAACTGATAGATTCAAACTTACTATAATGGCATAGGTTTGGATTTAAACTTTTACTTAGTCCCAACACACTTATTTGTCTTTCTTACTCCACCAGAACTCTAGGAATCTCATCCTCAAATCAATTTTATTGACAACAATAAAGAAATGGCTTGCCACTGCTTTTGTTCAAGATGTTTTTCTAATATCTCACTCTAGCCTAAACCCCTAGAATTTCTGATGAGCTCCCACTCATGTACTAATTAGATCTGATCCTGCTTAATTTTTTTGAGGTCAGGTAAAGAACTTTTAACGTTACTTAATCTTTCCTTTAGACTAGGAAAGAACTAGTCACAAAAGACTAAAATTAATTAAAAGCTTTCTAAAATAAGTGGAAGGGCAAGATTTGATCTATGCTTAAACTGTTACCATTAGAGGATACATACATGACGAATTACAAATGGAGGTCTATCTGTTTCTTTCCTAAAATCAAAAGGCCCTAGGTCCAAGTGAGCCAGGCGTTGACTGATTTGCAGAAGCTCACACATACGTCTTTTTGTATAAGGAGAAGGAGATCGAGAAAGAGATGCTATTGTGGGTTGCTCATAACTTTTGGTTGCTAAACAGGGCCTGTTTCTCTCAGATGAAGCTGTGTTCTTCTTTGAAGATTTGATCTGTCGGATTCCTTCTGTAGATGAATGAAACAGCCCATCTAAATTATCCTGAATTAAAGGAAGAAATTATTAAAACTAAAAAGCTTCAAAGTATTTGGTCTCACCATTGAACATATCATAATCAATAATTATCTTGCTAATTAATGATTAGCAAGATAATGAATAATTCTCAGTTCATATATTTTCCTTACATTTAGACCTCAAACAATCCTTCTCAAACAATTAAAAAAAGGGAAGACAAGGGGGAAAAAACCCAAGAGGCAATAATTTTATTAGGATAACTCTTTTTTACTACTATTACTAGACAGTTTCCAACTGTTTCGCAAACTTTAACCAGTTTAATAAGTTATTATCTTAGCTTCTAAATGAAAGAAAGCCAATTTTTCTTTCTTTAACCCACCATGTTTTTCTGCTGTTTGACACTTATTGTCTAAGAAATCCTACATCTGAATTGATCCTTACGTTGTAAAACCCATTTTCCATGATCTGAAAGAACAGCAAATCTACCTCAACTAGTTGAAAAGTGGCATCCAAGAAGAGTGGCAGGCAATTCTTTTCTGACAAACAGCTGATTTCATGGCCAAAACTGGTGGTGTCTTGCTCCCTGTTTTTGAAGGGGAGACTAGGAAGGACCCAAGATGACCTTAGAGCAATTTTGTACCTACAGAGAAGAGGGATCTATAAGATCACAATTCTTGGTAAGGAGCGATCAGAAGGTCATGTCTCTTACCCTCTTGTCCTTTCAGATATTCATTTTTTTTTTAAAGGATGCCTGGATTTTAATTCCACTTTTTAAAGTCCTTCGTTCTTCAATCTACATTCTAAACAACTAGTTATTGGTTAATATGATAACCTGTTGTAGGATAGATGTACTAGTTGACTGTACATCTATCCTACAACTCCTTGCTGAACTTTACTTTTTTCCTGTACTTTTATTCTTTAGCACTAAATTTCTTTAGCACTGAATTCTAAACCACTTTCACGTTCGCTGTAATGAAGTCAGAGGTGAAAATACATTCTCTGGCAGTGAAATCCATCTGATTGGACATACATTTATACAGGATTATATTGCAATTTTTGTCTTTTAAGCGCTTTAAAAAGAACAGCTCTTATCTTTATTTGTTTAACTTTTAATGGGAAAATTCCTTTTCTTGTAATCACTTTTTATTATGGGGAAAAAAATTCATCTCAACTTTTCTTTGTGGATGCTGGTTTATGATTTATGTGCTTATCTTGTCCTTGGAAGGAAAAGTGTGTTTTTCATAATGTCTTTAAATGGAGATAAAGCTTTCTGGGAAGCATTTGCAAAAATAATGCTCTCCAACTCACAGGTTTTTTCTTAAATATAAATTTAAAAAATGATGGGTCTACAACAGCTTTAAACCAAACCCAGGATGAGATTGCTGCCAACAATCGGGGTCCTCATTTTATCAACTCGGAGGGATGAAAGGCTGAGCCAACCTTGACCCAGTCAGGGTCATTAAGAGAGTGAATCTGCAATATTGCATTCAAAACATTGTGCCACCACAGCTCTAGATGCATAAGAAAAACTTGTAGACTTTCAGTGAGTTAATTATAATAGCAGATGGTTAACAGAGGGCTTTGAAGTTTAGTTTTGCTGTTATTAACCTGCTAACTATTTCTTCTTCACATATATGCATATACATACATATATGCATGCATGCAAGTAAGTAATGTAATGTAACATAATGTAATGTAATACAGGTCAAATTGGATTGCAAATAGATGCAGAAATTTATAAATCTTAGACTTGTTTTGAAGGGGAAAGCTATTATTTTTGCAATATATTTGCCAGTGTTCAACTATGGAGGATAATATATGTTTTTGTTTTTTATGCTTTTAATTCACAACTTTTTTTCTTTTTTAATGTTTTTTTCTAGTTTTGTTTTATCTTTGTTAATTTTTCCCCTTGGATTTTGTGTTTTAACTTTTTGAATAAAATTAAAATTTATTGATAAAAAAGAAAAATGAATAGTAAAAAGCCAAGGTTTTTCTACCAACATTCTACTTAATGATTATTCCAAATACTAGAGTGAAAGAAACATTTATCTCAGGAATAATAAAACTTGTCTTGCGAACATCAGTTACACAGATGATTGTCGAATACTTTTAGATATTTTAACTGTTTTAAAAAGCATATGTTTATTCAGCAGTCTTTCGCTTTCAAGCAAACATTATAATTGAAGAAATCTTTTATTTAACAATGAAATTTACATGAAGTTTCATAAGAATTATTTCAACAAATCACCTAAGAATAAATGTAACAAAATATTATGGGAACTATTTGCCATTTAAGTTATACTAACCTGTTTCTGCTTCTGAACTTTTGCTGAACTTAACAGACTTTCTGAAATAACACAAGTTGTGTGAAACTTCAATTTTGGTGCAATTCCCTAAGAGAGAAAAAATAATTGAACATAAAGCTCCAACTGAATAGATACATGATAACAAAGAAGTAAATGTTATACATTGTAATGAACTATCCCTAATTTGAATAATTTCCTTTGTTAATTTCAGCCTTTAATAAAAATAATTAGAAGAGACAGAACAGCAATAGTAAATGTCAAGAAGATAACATTTGCATTTCTGACAATTCAATTACTAGCAATTATATTGCTTTTCTGCAACAATTAAAGTCTGATGTTTATTTCCACTTGTTGCTTTGTCAAAAGCATTTCTCAGGAATTTTTATGGCATATTATATAATACTAATTCTGTTCAACCATCAGTCACATCCCTTCTAAATGGGATATCCTTTCTGTCTAATAATTTACCATTTCTTCTATATTTGTATTAAGCATATTAATGGCAACAAAAGAAATTGTTTACGTTCTCACATTTGTAAAACAAACAACCTAAATAAAATGGCAGTAAAGTGTGCTGCACTTCCCTTCTTGAACATGGGCATAGTGTCTTTATCCAAAGCTTATGTAAAGAAGGAAGGGAAAGTTAGAATTCATAAAAGGTAGAGTCAATGTAGTTACAAATCATTAAATTTCTGATTCATGAATATTATGGAAATAAGTAAATAGGAGGGAAAGTCTTGCCTTCCTGATTTATATCTAATCATATGGCTTATTCACCAAGCCCACTACTATTACTCTGAACAGTGTCAGAGAACTATTTTATCTTGTTAATGATCCTTTGGATCAAAGATAGTAGGTTTTGAATTTGAGTTTTTTCAATGCAAAACACATATCTGATTGTAAGCTATGATACTTCACTTTGCTCTTTACAGTATGTGATAGTAAAAACAAACGAGAAATACAAATATAAAAGTACATCTCAACTCACTGATTTAGCAATATTAATTTAATGTGAGCAAGAAGAAGGAAGTTTATTTAAGGGTGGGGGAGACTAGTTTTCCAACAGAGAACAAGAAAATAAATAATATTTTGCCTACTGGGCCATAATAGTTTGCATTTGCAATTTTCAATATTTTTTTCTTCTCTTAGCTGCAGCTCTGGGATCCCGATACATTCCCATCCAAGCACTATCTTTGAATGACCATGACTACCTACGGATAAATTTCATAATAAATAATAAAAAATACAAATGGTACTAAATTGTTAATCATTAAGAAATATGTTGGGGGGCGGAGCCCGGATGCCGTGACAAGACGACGTGCAAGCTCAAAGCTCTGAGATCGCACTCGATATTTTTATTGCTGGGGGGTTCTAACAGACCTAAATCATCCCGAAGAGATGGTGAACAGGAAGGTTATATCTTGCTGATCTTGGGGATATTGCACAATCTCCAGGAAAAGCAGGTTTAAAGTCTTCGTCTGGCAATAAAAATTCCAGTCTTTCAAGGCTGCCAAAGTCAGGCAATTTGAAAAAGAAGTGTTTCCAGCTGGTAAGAACCTTTTATTGTTTAAAGAAAAAACGGACTGCCTAAAAAACTTTAAAACTAATTTAAATTAAAGAATAGAAGAACCTAGCGGCGATTTTGATCTTTTTAATGGTTTTGGACAGTGGTTATCCTACTTTTTAAATGTTATTCACATGGATGCTAAGCAATCCTTTTCAAATGGATAAATGGATAAATTGCTCCAGCATTTCTTCTGATTCTCTGTAATCTGGCTATAAATAATTGGACTGTTTACATCTTAACACTTTTATTGCTTGGCTGTTGTGGCTCAAGATCTGATAAGATTGTACAGCCGTTCCCTGCTTTCACTTGCGAATGCTTCAGAGCTCTTAAGAAAAAATACAACTGCATATAAACATGGCGTCGTTTCAAGCTTTCAGCTTTGCAGAGACTGTCTGATACAGAGGACAGAATTCAGAGAAAATTGGATTATTTGGTATTTTTGGCAACAAATTTTGAGGAAAATTATGAGGAAAAAACTGAGGATGTCTATCAAATATAAAATAAAATGGAAAAAGGAATAAAGAATTTGAGCTTGTTGATATTCGTGACAATTGGTTTATTTCTGAGGGAGGAAAGAATGGAATATTTGAAAAGGAGCTAAATGGAGAGAAAATTTACTTCGAAAGACAGGGCATAGAAGGAGGAAAAAATATCAAAGAATTTATGGACTTTGAAATACTATTTGCAAAACATTTGATACCACTGCTGAGAATCAAAGACAAGCTGATAAAGGAAGCAAAAAGAGGGCGCCAAAATTATATGAGAGATACCATAAATAAGAAGGTGTAAAGATTTCTTCGCATGGATTCGTTTAAAAAGATGTTTGGAGAATTGGACCCACACATGGCAGCAGATATAAGACTGTTCTGTTATTGGAGAGATACAGGTTGATAGATGGAAGAGTATAATTCAAAATTAGCTGAACTTAGTTAAATCCATTGGTAATAGGTATAAATAAAAATTGATAATGATAGTAATGTATACAATGTTGAGTTGTTATGATAAGTAATAATTGGATATGAGAAGGGAAGGTTAGAAATATTATTGGACTATCTATAAAGATTATTAATAACAATAATAAATAAAAAAACTATATACAGTTAAATTTTAACTAATAGGGGGGAAATGCTATGATATAGGATATAGTTAAGTAAAGAAAGGATAATGATAATAAATTATATATATGGAGGATTAGAAAACTTTGGTATTAAATATTATGGATGTTTAGCTGAAACAGGATATGAGGATTTAATGTTAATGGAGGATTTTATAAATAAGTGAATGAAATGCCAGCATGTGGTTATGGATTGAATCTTGGTATATTTAAGGATGAAGGATGTTTAAATAACTGTAGTCAAATAAAAGTGGAGGTATGATGATGTTAATATAGTAAATATTTGAGTTAATGAATTATATTTGATGACGGTGGAAGAGATGCACAAAAGCTTTTTGTAACCAGCTGATATACTTTTAACAATATATGTTTGTCTTGGAAATAAATAAATAAATAATGTATTTTTTTAAAAAAGAAATATGTCAAATAAACCCCAAATATAGATCAACATTTGTATGTTTCTTGTGTTTCTTGTGATGTATTATATTAAAGTGCACTTACTGTAAATTCATAGGCCTTTTTCATTAAAACCTCACGAACTGAATTTCGTGGTTGATGGGTAAACTTAGGAGCAGGAAAAAGGAAATCTCTTGTATTGTCTTCATATCTGGACAAAATTTCACCCACTAAAAGTGAATTATATGTTTTAATTGAAAAACAGTAACTACATGTTTACACATAAGAGAGATGCAGGCATTGAAGCATACAAAAAAAGGAAGTGATACAACAAAGCTAAGAATGTTTAGATTCCCTTGATCCCAACAGAACATATGAAATATGAAATCTCATCTTTGCCTGCTAATGCCACAGAGCAATATCTCACTAGATTACAAAAGCTTATGATAGTACTAATTCAAAATGGAATAAAAAAAACTATCTTAGGATTTTTTTATGATGATATCCAAAATCAACAATAAATATGGCATTCTTTGGTGGAAGTAAAATATTAAACATATTATTTTGATTTTGGAATTCACCAACAATATAATGTAGAAATTAATGAAAATGAGGATTCTTAAAAATCATGGCTTTTTGAAATGCAATAAAGAAAACAAAATTATTGAGACAAGCTAACATTATCAACCAAAATTGTAAAATTCAACAATTTTGTATGTATATTTGTGCAGTGATTCGGAAAACTTACTTAAAATTATGGATCCAAATTAATGCACAAGAAATCAAGGAAGACTGTAAAGGGGTTTTCATATTTCTATTCTATTTAATTCATTTGGAAGTCAAAAGTGAATAACTGCAGAACCAATTACCTTAATACTGCATAAAGAAGAATTGGTTATAACTACTGTTCTCTGCACTTTGATCAGCACTTCTTCTTGGGCGCTACATTCAAATAAGTTGTTTTACATATAGAATAAAATTTGCATACATATTTGAAAAACTGTAGGATACTGATCACAAGATAAAATCTATGTACAGAGATTATGCACCGAAGAATAAATACAATTTTAGAGAAGCTGGGTAAAAACTGTACACAGCTAGTATCTATTGATGGGCAAAAGTTGTTCCCTAAAACATTTTCTGAACAACTATATTGCATGGAATAAATTATTATATACAGAAATTTACCATAGAACTATGTTGTTTTATGAAAATATTGATACTATACCTGGAGGAACAGTTTGTATTAACTGAACCACTGATGTATCAGCTAGAAAAAGGGGAAAATTATAATCAGAAGTCATTTTGATAACAAAATTAAAAAAAACAAATCAGTTTATCTCTAACTTTGTACCTAAATAAATAAATAAATTTATTGCATTTGTTATTATCATGGGCATTTACTGGTTTCTGGGAGAGAGAAACAGACAGATAGAGAGACAGACAGACAGACAGAGACAGATGGCAGAGTTTAACTTCTAACCATCAGGATTCCCGTAAATTGGATTTACTGACCAAAAATGAGCTTATCATGAATCAGATGATTTAAATGCCAATTTATTGTTACTCTTGAAGTAAAATCCTTTACATAGGTTTTTTTTCAAGGAGGAGTGCTCTTTTCCTGATTGAGATATTTCCTACCCTACATTAAGCAGAGATAAAGACCCAAAGAATTTTCCAATAAGCTAGGAAATCACACTGAAAGCTGCAGATCTCAGTCTATGTTAGAAATTGGAAACACAACTGATATTTGATCTGTGGACCAAGGCCCTGTCTTTCTTTAGCTCAAAATACCCCCTGTCTTGCCAGGACTAAAATATGAGACCATGGAGAATAATGACTGGAGTTGGAGAATGTTCTGCACTGAGTGGAGCTCAAGCAGTTTGCTCAGTATATAGATGTATACCACATTCTAAATAATAATATAGTTTTTCTCATCACTATTCAGTAAGAACATGGAGCTAATTTCTCAGTTTAGCTGTTTTTAATACATAAATGTAGCATATTTCAGGTGGTAGGTAAATGTTATTGCTTTCAAGTTTTTTCCAGCTCAAATCAGGTCTAATAATTTTACTTCGACTATGATTTTGTGTATCAGTTTGAAAACTTAGTGAAACTTACTTCTGAGGAAGTAGGATGAAGAGCTAAGTATTTAATTAGTACACCTGTACCCAATATTTCAGTCCTAATGATACTCAAAGCAAACTACATAGTATCTGCAGAGTCTTCTAATTTAATACTAACTAGACTCAGACCTATTTTTTATGCCCTTTGCTAAAAAACAAACTGATGAGGACCTTAACAAATAAAAAAATAATGAAACTGAATATGCTATAATTGTCTTAAATCCTATCATTCTCTTTCTAATTATCCTTTTGTTATTTAAGAATACTGAAGAAATTGAAGGGGGCCTCTGATAAACCTTTAAAATCATGAAAGCTTCAATTATTTAAAAGTAGCAGATGTTCTTAGAAAATATACAAAATAGTTCTAGCGGTATATATAATCATCTAAAAACATTGAGATATTTCAATGAAATCATTTTTCTTATTTTTAATAGTTTAATTTGAATTTCCATTATTTCAGAGAAAATTTCTGGTGCATTTATGACTATGACTCAACATCTTCTGAAATCTCCAATTGATTTTTGATGTTGTATACTGTAAAATAATTTGTACATGAAATAAAAAGTAATCAAAAAACCAAAATCCAAAAACCTACTTTCAAAAAGTTCAACAAGTTCTCCTGGGTCAACTACATCAGTATATACCTAAAATGAAAGTTTTAGAAAATGAAATGGAACAATTCTGCTAAAACAATCCTGAGGATATTTAATAAATATGATCACTATAATAATTTAGAGTAGTAAGTTCTTTAAGAGAATAAACAGTCAAACATCAACAACTTGTCACTGCAACAGAATCTTTTTTCTAAGCAGCAGCTATTTTTTTCTGTTGACTTCTGAACTGTATTGGTATTGTCTTTGACTCTTAAATTAAAAATTGACATAAATAATAGAGTCTCTTAATTTCAACCTGGAAAAACATAACCACCTTGTTAGAAAGTGAGCAGTTATTTTCTTTCATTCTAGTAAATGATGGGACATCACTTATATTTATACTGTCAGAGAGTTAAATTTCATTCAATATATATCTACTTAGAAGTAAGTCCTGCTAAGTTTAAGAACATGAATTTCTAGGCCAGTATAACCAACTCAGAATTAGTTCCAATAAACTGAGTGGGACTTGTTCAGTGGGAATAAGTTTGATACCATAATTAAGGTTTGACCTTAATTATGAACCCAGTATGAACCCAAAAAGCAAGTCTGAAAGGTCTGTTAAGATCATGATGCAGTTATGTCAAGATTTGCAATTCTGTGCTGTGCTGACAAAGTGAGGGAATGCTTTATTTACTACAGCTACCATGACAAAATGAAGCCTGCTGAATTTATTAATATACTAACATTGGAGGGATTACACCAATTGGAAAAAATGTAAGTTTCACAGAACAGATTTTTAAAGAACTTTTACTTTAAAATTCACAATTTAAATCCAAACACAAACAATCCCATGTTCAATAGTTTCCCTATGGCCTCTGATGTTGACGCTATCCATTTATATGCAATAGCCACATCTATAGTTGATGGTTCCATGTTGATGGAAAATTTTATTCATACAAAAATATACATTGCAATGTAAGGAACAATAAATAAATGAAGATTACCAGAAAAATATTATTTAGTAAACATAAAGCATAATGCACAGAGTGTCTATAAAGCCATATCTATAAAGTTTTGCTATATGTATATTGACAAAAGTTTTCTTTTTTAAAAAGTTCTTTTCAATAGTTCATATTATGCCATTCAGGGACTGAACTGTTCTATTAACCAAGTGACTGTAGAAATGAATTATTATTTTTACAAATAGAATGTATGTAGTCAATATCTATATTCCTGAATAATTCATACTGCAATTCTTCCATAAACAATATCCTCAGCTATTTTAAAAAAAATCTATACCTTTAAAATAAAAAATACAGGCAAACCTGTAATATATAAATATTAATACTTACATAAGCATTAATTCAAAAATAAAATGAAAATGAAATATTACAGAAATATGTATAAGAATGTAGCAAACAAAATGCTTGGATATGAATTATATGTTAAATGTTAGCCATGATATTATAAGTACCTACTTTTTCAAACATTAATTTCTCATTAAACATCAGGGGAAATATTGCACGAACACATGAAGTTTTCTTATGCTGTCCAAAAATACATGCACTGACATAGACATCTTCTCTGGATTTCAGTGCAACACCTGGGCATGTTACCTGAAAGAGCAATTATTCATAATAATTATGACTAAGGAATATTAAGTATGTAACACTTAAACCCCATAGTCCACCATGAAATGCACAGTAAAATTGATGAGCACGGTTAGAAAAAACAATAGTAATGATAATGCAAATATTCCAGGTACCTATAAACTAACACTGTGATAAACCCATGTAATTATAATCCAAGTTATAGAAAAAATAACTGAACTTTTAAATAAATTGCAATGAAATGGTTTTAAGCAATCTATGCATCCTCCTTTGAACATTCCTTGGTCAAGAATAGCTATTTCAAAGTCAAAGGCAAGAGTTGGGGGAATCTGAAATTTTCTTCCACTGTTTGCAGAACACTGCTATTTCTGATGTGTTCATTTATTGCTTTTTGCTAAAAAAAAATCTGGTTTATTACTTCTTTGAAATGAATGTATATATCTTAATCGAAGGTGAGTGGATGAATAAATGCTTGCTGATATAGGTAACATTAGCAACCTGTAATAATAATTTCAAGAGTAAATGTGGGAAATCAGTATCTGGACATCTGTACAAGCTACTAGCTGTCTATTAAAAACCTGAAACCACTTCCCAAAAAGCGCAGTCCCACTTCCACTCTCATTGGTTAAATGACAACTTAAGTATTACACCGTGACACTAGCTTTGTGATAGCAGAATGTCATCATGGTGAACCCAAGTATTCAATGAAAAAAAGCTTGTAATCACAATGCAGAACACAGCTCTCAGCATTCTGATGAAAGCTGTGGATGTTGTGGATGTCTAAATCCACCCATTTGGAGCCTGGTCCTTAGTACTCTATTAAATTTGGTGTGAAAGAAGTTATGCAACATTCCTTTATTTCTTGAATAAGCCAATCCACTATGTCAAACCAAACAAACCATATTATGGCTTACTTACTCATTCATACTGGGATAAACCATGGGTGGTTCCCCACTTTTGCAAAATAAGTCATTGTTTTCTGTAATCACCTCTATGCTTGGAATGGTTCTCACTTGAAGCTATATTAACCCTCTCTTGGTAGTCTTAAGGAAGTGCTGAAGATAGTGTATTTGGGAATTAAACAGGGATTATCAACCAAAGATTATTACTTATGTTTACTGTTTCTTGCTCTGCTTGAAATTGAGCTATTTCAATATGTCATCTCCTTGTTTTACCATGAATGTTCCAATTTCTGATTTACTGGCACATGTTGTGGATTTACCATTCTATGTCTTGACAATTATGGAGATAAGCAGATGTGATAAATAAAAAACTAGAAAGATAAAGACCACAATTTGAGAACCAATTTCTCTAATATTTGTAGATATTTTATGTATCAGCTTAGCCTTGCTAAGTTGTTGGAGGGGTGGATAGTTCTCATTTTTATACAATATATAAAACTTACCAAAAAAAGGAAGTATCCCCACTTTATAGAAGAGAGAAACCAAGCATAGTACCAACTTCTGAACAGCAATGATTTTAGTTACTGAAGTTAGTATGCATTAATTTTATAATTCAAATATAAACCATTAGGCCAGTGATTCTCAAAGGGTGGTCTGAGGAGGTCTTGAGGGACCCCTTTCAGGGGTCCTGGTGTAGCAGAAAATGAGACAAGACCAGCTCTTTGTCAGAGGGAGAGGTTTATTTGCGCAAAGGTTCAGNCCCCCCCTTGCACTTGTAGAAACAGCCTTGCCCTTGCTCCTGCTCTCCTCTTTTGTTGTAGCCGATTGAGTTGTGAACCAAGTTGTCTTTGTGACACCCCCCCCTTTGAGGTGCCCCTCCCTCCCTTTCTGGTGCCCCCCAACACATTCTCATCTGTCTGCCCCCCTTTGCCCCTGGCAGCTGCTATTCTCCCTCCTTCTGGTCCTGGTGACAGATCTGCAGGGTCCCAAAATGTGCAGAGCACAGTACTTTTAAAAAAATCTTGCATCGCAGGCTGCCCCTGCAGCACCATTGCTTTTGCCTGCCACCCAATTGGCTGGGTACTATTTGCCATGTGTGGCCAAAGTCCCAGGTCAAAGGGTGTTTGGGCAAATGGGCAGAATGTTATGTGTGCTAAACTGGCAGTAATGCCGGCAGCAACCACCCCTGTATAATACATGTGATAACCAAGTGTCACATATGACATGCAAAATATAAAGTTTCAGTGCTCTGTTAATGTAGCTAAACTTAATTTCACAAAGAAATATACAATTCTTATGAAACTGTTAAGATGTATTAGAGGTTTTTCATCTACTTCATGCTATTCTCTCTTCCTGCTCCCTCCCCACTTTTGTTTCTGCTCTTTTGTTTTGAAATGAATGTTTTGATAACCCAGAAAGACCATACACTGTTCCTTTTATTTTAAAATCAGAAGTTTTTATAGGCATAAAAACAAAGGGAACATTTTGTATAGGAAAATTTGTACAATTCCTTTTCAGGCATCAAGGAAGCATTGGGCTGGGTTATAAAAACAGTGCCACCTCTTATGAACAGCAAAAAGAATAATAATCCTCCTAATCCTCCAATGTGCTATGTGTTTTTTTAAATGTCAGTTTGAATTACAGTGAAATAAAAGGAATTTATTTGACATAAATCAAATCTATCCCTTCCCAAAATCAGTTGAATGTATCTATGCCACTTTCACATTGATTAGAAAAAAATAGCTTATTTATTTATCCAATTTATATAATTAGTGTTTTCCTGGGCATCACTTTAAAATGTAAATTGTAAGAGGGTGCCTGGGCTGCTTTGCAAGAGAGCATTACCCCCCTCCCCCTAAATCTGTGAATGGGAAGGGGGTGGAGCAAGCATCTTTCATGATCCTTATGGAACATAAACACGCAGTATGCCACACTGTTGTACTTTATTATACAATTACCTAATTTCAGTTTCCCATTCACATCAGCCTAAATTACTTTGAATTGGGAAGACTTGATATCATCCAAATGGATTCTTTTTTAAACTTAAAGATTATAAAGTTTTAGCTTTCTTTTTCATATCTTATAATAAGAAAATTATTTATTCTGGAAACAACAGCGTGGGACAGTATTTTCCTGCAATTTTCTTATCTATTTGATCTTATCTATTTTCTCCTATAACATCATAAACGAGAATGGTTAAAACTCTATTATTCCATGATTGAGCTCATGCTGCATATTTGAACATTGAGTTTTGAACATTGTTGAATATAGAGTTTTTTTACACATACAAGTTGATACTTGAAAATTATATAACAAATATGTCTCTGTGAGTGAGCATATACATCTATAAAAATATTATACTGATAAAAGAACCTATTAAAAGAACCGATTTAAAAAAACAAACAGTGAAACTCTCTATGAGCTAGAATAGCAGTGCAAGCCCACATAATAAATTTATACATATAGATTATACATATACAAGATTTTCAAAGGTATAATTTAGCCTACATTCAAATAACTATATTATAAAACAGCTTATGTAATATTGTTTAAATTCAACATTGAACTTTGCATGAATTAGCTTCTAGGACATAAGTGACTCTCCGGGTGGATGAGGCTGACTGGCTATTAGTCACAAGGATGTGAAGGTGATCTTGTTTAGCAGCAGATATTTTACATTTTTCTTGAATCAGTTTTAGTTTCAACTCTGAGTGATAGACACAATGGTTATATTCTAAATAATAAAAGTAGAATGTTGAATTCCATAGAAAGATAATGCAACTAAAAATTTAAAAACTTTCTATGTTATCAAGAGCAGAAAAAAGAAAAATTAATAACATGCTTCTGATTGATGTTATAAAGGATAGAATCTGCACAGTGATGAAAAAAAATGAAATCATTTCCATGACTGATAAAATGATTAGACAGAAGATCAAAACATTAATAGAAGTGTAGCACCTCCCAAACTGATTCTATAATTAGATAATAATGGAAATAGTCTATTTTACTTTTTGTATGGATAAATGGGCATGGCCCTGGAATTACTTCATTCCATTAGATTACAATCTAATCAACAGAAATCTCTGGAAAACTGATAAACATTTGTAAATCTGATTCCTTATGCTGGTCTATGATTACTGCTATTATAATAAAGATTTGATTTGAAACTGATTCCACATAGCTGAAAACAAGTAATTTGAATATGGAACCCACTGTTGGGCTAAAGAATGATGAACAGTTATCTCAAGAATTATTGAATCTAGATTGGCCAGTCAGAGGAAATTCTTTGGGATGCTGCAGAAGCCCAGGCTGGGGCGCTTTGTGTGGGCTTGGTAGCAGGAAGAGCTCCGGTGCCCATTCCTTCAAGCGGGGGGTCCCTTCAAGTGGGCCTGAACTGGCCAAGGGGTAGGCGGGGGACCTCTGACCACCTCCCACCATGGGGAGTTGCCATGTCCCATAGCAGGCACCCAGGGCAGCCCTGACCCCCACCTCCCTGCTGCCTCCACACTCACACAACCTTCCCACCACCCCGGGACCTGGGGTTACTCCCAATTCTGCTGGGCAACCACTCCTTTGCACCCCAGTGCTGGCTGAACTTGGGCCTTCGGCAGCCCCACTTTCTCGTGGAGCCCCTTCCCGGCTGGGAGATGCTCCGGGAAACCCTGCCACCTGTGTTGGTCAGGAGCACCATTAACCACTAACCACCATCTCATTGAAATGGAAAGTTTAAAAGAAGATGGTTAATTTCTGTTTATAAATTGGTGGCCAGCCAGGGAAGCATCCTGGGAGCTGAGCGGACTGAGTGTGACATCGCAGGCTGAAAGGGAAGCTGCGTGCCCCACCCGCCAGGTGCCCCGCCTCTTCTTGCCTCCCCCCCTGGCCAGAGCGGTCACATGGTGGCAGAGTGTGGGCTGCTGACTGACCCAGCACTCACCCAGACATGGCCAGAGTGACGGGGCATCCCGGAGGGTCTCCCGTCCAGGAAGGAGCACCAGGAGAATGCAGGGCCACCGAAGGCCCAACTGCAGCTGGCAACGGGTTGCGAAGGAGTGGCTGCCCAGCAGAGCAAGCCTGGAGGTGGTGGGGAGCCGGGGGTCGAGGCCACCCTGGGCGCTTGCAACAGGATGCGGCAGCTCCCTGGGGTGGGAGGTGGTCGGAGGTCCCCCGCCTCCTCATGACCAGTTCGGGCCTTGCTTGAAGGAATAGGTGCAAGGGGTCTTGCTGCTGCCAAGCCCACACAGGGGTCCCAACCTGGGCTTCTGCAGCATCCTGGGGGCAAAATGCCACTTCCTAACTTAAGAAGGGAGCCAAGCAAGGCGTGGCTGAGCTGCAATGCTCCCGAAAAGGTTGCTCAGTGGGCGAGGTATGGGTCTAAAAGCCCCGGCAGAAGCAGCTGAGCCTCATAACAGGTTGGGTTTCCCAGTGGAGAAGCTTTACTCAGCTCTGCGACTGCTCAGCAAAGCCTCCCGAGGCCCTTCCTGGGAAAGTGGCGAGCGAGCGGGTGGATGAATGGTGGTGAGTCATAAGGGAAGTGAGCCCCAGGCCGGCATCCCTGGCTCCTCCTTCTGAGAGCCAGCTTGGGGAATGGCCAGCCTCCCCCACCATTGCACCCTCACCTTCCTCTGCTGGCGGGGCACCTCCCATTTCGCCTCGCTTTCCCCATTGCTGCGGCTCTTGGAGGAAGGGATGCCACTGCTCCTGCCAAATAGAGGCCGCCACCGATGTTCCCTCTAATTTTTTTTCAGTCTGTGCGGAAAAGTATAGTGTTTGAGTGGCACATTTTCATGCCTGAGCACCTGAATTGGTTTCACAGATGTCACCCAAGACAACAACGAAATCAGTGTTATTTGAAATTCAACTCTACCATGTAAATGTCCATTAAGTAAAGAAATCTCCCTATACAGGTAGTCCTCAATCTATGACCATAATTGAGCCCAAAGTTTCTATTGCTAAGTGGGACATTT